ATCGTTCGATATTAGCCTATGGTACACAGACAAACTATTGCTGTTGTCGACCCTAGGAAGTGATATCATTATCGCAACTAGGACCTATTACCAGTGGTTTACGACTAAGGTGACCTCTCTCACCATTGCTCACCATTGCCATTGATTTGCTGCCTCTAAAGTCCAGAAGGTCGTAATGCTCCAATTTCGTGTTTACAGACCTTCACTATGCGAGTGACATTGCTCTTCTCAGTTCGTATATTTCAAGTTCGCAAACCATTTTAAATAGCTCAAATACTGAATATTTTTGGGTTGAATTCGGCTCAGATAGTATTGAAAAGCTTGAGCACCATGCGCTGCATGGTATGGTATTCTCCAGTTTCTACAATCAGTTGATTAGAAATTCTTGAAAAAGGTTGCCTATGACAACCGAAACGTCAGATTTTGATATCTTATTTCATTATGCTGTGTTCTCTTACTTTAAAAAAATCCGTAAACCCAACTGCTTCTACCGCACAGTTTGTTATGTCCACACCTGTAAAATAAAAAGTGCTGCTACAAGACTGGATGGGATCAAATCCAAACCTCATGCTTGCAGATGAGCAGCCAATGGCGCTCGTGCATCAAAGCCATCGCTTTCATTGCATAGCTGTCCAGTGTTCCGAACTAAATGATTTTGCCATGCTTGGTTGTACCTAATACGCTCTCTAATTCTCCAGTGACCGAAACCTCGGCCTAAAGCTCCAACCTTGACGTGATGGTCGGGCTTTAGTGCTGCAATGATCCCACGGGCTACACTGGCTTGAACGTCGTTCCACAAAGTGCAACCATACCAAAAAGGCAAAAGGGAAGCAGTCAGACCAAGGGCAATGAGACCCCGTACTACGAGTAATCGTGCTACGAGGCAGTCTGGGGGTAAATTTGTACTGCCCTCTGTGACAGGAGTGTGTAGTGGTTAACGGCTCTATGGGGACTCTAGTGAAAAGAACATATTTCTAATGTAATTCAGATACAATTCCAATACAATCCAAGTTAATCTTAACTCACAGTTACAATAGAAAATTCCGTGTTCCGTTGAACCACCACACCACAAAGAGAGAATTCTACCTTCCTGGCATTCCAAATCTCCGTTGATCGCAATATTGATCAACATGTGTGAATAGATGAGTCAACTGTTCGTAGCTAAGATTTTTGTTCACGTCTGAGTTATTGGCAGCCAATTATAGCCAACCGGCAGTCACAAAAACAGTTACTCAGCTAAAGTCCCAAAATCACGGTGGACCCAAGAAGCGGGCGGTTGTGGTTGTATTTCAGTAAAATGAACTTTTGTACACTAATGGGACCGATATCAATGGGGTGAAGAAAGATGATACCGAGCAAGAAAAATAGTACTTTACAAGTGCTACAAGTGTGAAGCCAGTAATGTTTTTCCTGCAGCATGTCCATATTTATGGAAGCAGCGATACTGCCTTCCCATGAAGAAGGACGGGTTAGAAAAGGTGGTCCATAAAAACCACACTCCAGGCGCCCAACGGTTGATCATGACAGCTGGCGCATAATTCAGCACGGTCGAAATACTTTTGAAACCAAAAAGTTCGGTGTTGCTAAGAGGGTACCTGCTATGCATAGCCGCATCAGGAGTGAGACAGCATTGTCTGTGCCCTCGGATTAGACCAACCCGCTGCCTCGCGGATCAGACGTTTGAAGCAGAGGCTGTT